AAGAAATTTAACGATGTCATGATGTCAAATGGATTCAAAATCAACGTGAGACAAATGTGTTTATGTCAAGAATACAGAAGACGGTTATGTCATTCTTTGTCTGTATGTAGATAACATAATAATTGTAGGTAGCAATGATCGGATGGTCAAATCTATCAAAACACATGTTGAACTCAAGGTTTGACATGAAAAATATGGGACCGGCTGATGTGATTTTGGGGATCAAAATCAAAAGGGTGTCTCATGGTCTCATATTGACTTAGTCACATTACGTGGATAAGATACTTGACAAGTTTAATAAAGATGATTCTGGTATAACAAGAACTCCTATTAATATAAGTCAACATTTGTCCAAAAACAGAGGAGAAAGCATATCTCAGGTGGAGTATGCTAGAGTGATTGACAGTCTGATGTACTTAATGAGCTGTACAATACCAGATATTGTCATCACTGTAAGTAGATTGAACAGTTTCACGAGTAACCCAGGAGATGACCACTGGAAAGCAATTGTGAGAGTACTGAGGTATTTAAAATATACTCTTGACTATAGACTGCATTACATAAGAGAGCCTGCTGTTTTAGAAGGGTACTCTGACGTAAGTTGGATATCCGATACACATGATTCTAAGGCTACCAGTGGATTTATATTCACCTTGGGTGGTGCAGCTATTTCATAGAAATTCTCTAAGCAAACGGTAATAACCAGATCCATGATGGAAGCTGAGTTTGTCACATTGGATAAATGTGACGAAAAAGCTGAATGACTTAGACATTTCTTGGAGGACATTCCGGATTGGTCAAAACCTGTACCTGCAATTTGCATACACAATGATAGCCAATCAGCTATTGGTAGAGCATATAATACGATGTATAATGGTAAGTTTAGACATATACGTCGTCGACATAATACCATTAGACAACTGATCTCAAGGGGAGTCATAGTCATTGACTATATAGGGTCGAACGACAATATTGCGGATCTGCTGACCAAATGACTGAATAGAGATCAAGTTGAAAAGACATCGAGAGGAATGAGACTGAAGTCCATGGAATAAATAGGTCGAAGTAGTGGAAACCCAACCTAGCTGACTGGAGATCCCAAGATTTAGGTTCAATGGGACAACTAAATTATATAGACCAGTTGAGTTCACTGTGAGGGTAACTCCGGCCTGTTCTTATGATGATAATAGTGAAATCCGTACGAGAAGAGGATAAACATTGATTTTTAATGATTCTTATACGTCGGATACGTTAGGAATTCGAGCGGAGTAATACGGGTTACTCTTTAATAAAAAATTACATATGTCAGAGAGAAGTGAGGCTGCTTCAAAGGAGAATTGTGAGGGCTCAATTCATTAGAAATTCTTGCAGAACCAAGTAGATGTTCATGGCCAAAACGGACATAACCATGAGAACAGAATTGTGTCAGGAAGATGTCTGTGTGGTATATTAATATTTACACGAAGGCAGAACAGTTCAAAGACATCTCGTCTACTGGTCAACCAGTAAAGTTAATGAATTCTCACGAGGGAAGGTTCAAGGGTTAATGCCTACCTATCCTTTGCAAGTATCGACTGTAGAACTCTATCATCGTGTTGAGTTTGTTTTTTTCTTGTCGTCAGTCAATTTTCATTCATGTGGGAGATTGTTGGCAAAATGGCTTATTAAGCCATGGTAAAGGCCATTTTGAGGTTCATTTTAGAAAGGGGCCAAATTGATTTTTGTGACGGGTCTCGATAGATTTGCGTTCTCCATCACGAGGATATCAAAATCAATTATTCATACACTCAAAATGGATATTAGGTGAATGAAAAATTGATGTTCTAAGTATGTCACTTGAAGTGGTTAAGGTAATTAGAAATTGTAAAAATCTCACATTGGCTAAGAATGAAGCCTTGGTGGTGTTTATAAGTGATTGCACTTTGAAGCCTAGGTAAGCATGTGTACCAGAGAGGCTCTCTCACGCGCAGGGGGGGGGGGGGGGGGGGGGTGCGAATCATGGTCCCGGCGGGTTAGGGGCCCAATGTGTGTGCCCGTGACCTGTGGACACGAATGTCGGACTGGAAAACCCACACCCAAGACCTTCCACATTCAGCCAAAACCCAAAACCGTTTGGAGCTTAATGTTGATTAAAGGGGGGCTTGATGGTATGCTTAATGCCGAACTTAATGGTGGACTTGATGGACGGTTATGGCATCAGTTTTGCCTTCATAAAAATTTGAACTTACTATGGATTTGTGGCTAGGTTCGTCATGAACGTTTTGCACCATTAAGATGCGCGTTTAACCCCATAATGCCATGCTTTGTAACCTTTTTCCGAGAGCCTATATAAGTCATGCACCACATGAAGGACAACACACTTTTCCGAATTCTCTTCTCCTTTCTCTCAGTTCTCTTTTGTTTTTCGAGTTCTTTGTGCGTTCTCTTTTGTAGTTCGGTTTTGGTGATAGAGAGAAGATCCACGTTCTAGTTGCCGGACGGTTCCGATAGTGCTTCGAGCTACCGTCGTTGTCGTTGTATCCTGGGAGACGGACGTCCAATGTTACCTCAAGCACTCGCCGGAGGGGACGAATCTGTTTTAAGGAAAGCGTAGCTCACGTGCCTCGACATCCTTGCAATTCATTTTTCCAAGTTTGGTAGAAAGGTTGAATTCGTGTTGTAACTATTTCTATATTTTGATCTTCCTATAAGTTGTTATGAATTGTTCTTCTTTGTATTATCTATATTTTTCCTAACAATCTTAAAACAGATTTGATACAGAGGACTTTGCTGGAGGGGAAAAAAAAGGAAAATAAAAAACGTTTCCTTATTGTAGGAAATTATTGTCAATTTCCTTACTAACTTGGAAAATTTGTTTTTGAAGAAATGGCTGATAACATGAACGTGGTTGTTCCTGTTGGAAGTTATACCATGACGCCTGAGCCGTCACTTGTGGGACAAACATCTATCTCGGTCCCAACCCCTGCTTTGACCTCGACGCGGCCTTCACCAGTCTCAGTTCCTGTGAACCACAATGAAAAAATCTTGATAAATTTAGTGGGCTGAATTTTAAGACTTGGCAACAAAAAATGTTATTTTATCTGACAACATTGAATCTTGTGAGATTCTTAAAAGAGGATCCTCCTACTGTTAGAGAGGATAAAGTGGATGCTCAATCCATGCGGTTTATGCATGGAATCATTCTAACATCCTGTGTCGGAACTATGTGCTTAACGGCTTGGTTGATGGGCTTTATAATGTGTATAGCTCAAAGAAAACAACTAAGGAATTATGAGAATTTTTAGACCAGAAATATAAGTCCGAAAACGCGGGTGCTAAGAAGTTCTTAGTAGGCCAATTCCTGAATTACAAGATGGTGGACTCGAAGACTGTTATTAATCAAGTTCAAGAGCTCCAATTGATAATTCACGAGATATATGCTGAGAGAATGGCTATTAGTGAATCCTTTCAGGTAGCTGTGCTGGTTGATAAGCTACCCCCCTCCTGGAAAGAGTTCAAGAGCTATCTGATGCACAAGAGGAAAGAGATGACCGTTGAGCAATTGGTTGTCAGGCTTCGTATTGAAGAAGACAATAGGCAGACTGAGAAGAAGTTCTCCAATGCAACCGCAAGCTCTGCTAAGGCTAATGTGGTGGAGCATAATAGCTCCAAAAAGAAAGGAAAGCCCGGATACAAGTTGGGGCCAAAGGGAGGAATTGTCAAGAAGAAATTCCAAGGGAAGTGCTTGAATTGCAACAAGATTGGGCGCAAGTCGGCAGACTGCAGGTTGCCAAAACAAAACAAGGATAAAGAGGCACCTCTATTTGTGAATTATTTTTACTAATTATGACCATAATGTCATCACGTTTTAATTAATTTTAAAGAGCCACCTCTTCCCAAAAGAAAAAAAAAATTATAACTATAAATTAAGGAGCCTTGATTACTTGGCCTTGTGGTTTTGCTATCTCTTCACTTCCTTGCCTTTGTGATATTTGGCTTCTTCTTCAATTTGTTGAGATAACTAGATTTCCTTTTGTTATCATATTAAAACTTTAGATGTTTCTTCTTAGAATATTATCTTTCGTGAAATTGTAGGTATTTTTTGAAACTGTTGTTTTTTAACTCTTCAATTTCAGCTCCTTTTCATTATTTTATACAGTGAAAACCCAATTATTCAGTTGTGTTTGATATTTATAAAATGTTTTAGTATGTCATGAAGCACTAGCTGGTCGGCGAAGTTAGTCTACTTCAAAAAAATTGCTCCGAACCCATGCCTTTAGGAGAATTTTGTTTGTCTTAACCATTGACCGAGTCTTTGTTGATATTTATCATACCATGACCATTGCTGTTTCAATGCACCGAGTCTAATACGAAGCTGTGGTAATCATTATGCGACCTTAACCGGTGAAATCGCATTGCATAATCTTCATTGATGGTTGCCTTGTAAGGTGCATACCTCCTTGTAAGGTGCCTTGTAAGGTTTTCTTTTGAGTTTTTGTCTCAGAGAGGAATTCATTGACAAAAAGTTTCCCATTTCCTTTTGTGCCTCGTTCTTAATCGCCCCTCCATAGTCTGAATTCCAAAACTGAGCAGACGTCCGTATAGACAGAAGATCAATTTTTCTTTAATTGGCCCAGGGTTTGATGTTCATGGTTATCTGATAATATCATGGTTCATTTTATGGTAACTCCCAATAACGTGCAAGGAACAATTTGTTAGAGAGAAACTGTCTTAATACTTTGAAATTTCCAACTCAAAAATGTTATTTACACATCCTTGCAGTCATAAACTAATGATTAATTCTTTCATTTTGATTTAGTGTTGTACTAGGAAGAGTAAAATATTTACTTTAACATGTACATTCTGGTCGTAATCTATTATTGTTCCTTGCAATAAATAGTCATTTACAGGGAAAATATTTCTAGATTGTCGTTGTTGGATTCTTGATTAATTTGGTGGGACTAACTATATGATAAACGTTTCGTGGTTTTCATTTAATTGATGATTTTTCTTTGTCACAGGGTCATATATTCAATGATGAACGTACAAATTCATCCTACTGTGTGTATAACTCAGATGTTGCTACTGGTTATGGAGTGGGAGGCTTTTTGTTTCTTCTTTCAAGTGAATCTTTACTTATGGGAGTGACAAAATGCATGTGTTTTGGAAGACCCTTGGCTCCTGGCAGTCATCGAGCTTGGTCGATCATCTATTTTGTGTCATCATGGTGAGTCCTTTGATGTACCCTTTCACTTGTCTGTATCCTCTCTTATCTATACATTATTTATTATGTCGGGTCTGTCTTGGAATGTTGTATTTTAGTATTTCTAGTAGGGAATAGTTGATCACTCTCGCCTAATTTCGCCGTTCAACTAGTTTAGTAGACATGATTTTCTATGTTTGATATGTCATATTGCATTTGTTCTGATTTATTGTGAGCATTTATACCTCATGTTGCGTGTTTTCTTATTATTGCTGGCTGGCTCTATCATTCTCCATAACAAGCTTGTTGCAGTTTTGTACGTGCCAACCCATGAGATATTATTCCGTAAACTTGGAGTAGAATGTGTTTTACAACTTTGAAAATATTCTCGGTGTTGGTTTGTTATTGAAACTTGCTATGTACTTCTGTCTACAGGACAACTTTTCTGATAGCAGAAGCATGTCTGATTGCCGGTGCGACAAAGAATGCATATCACACGAAGTACCGGGAGATGATCTATGCTCAGAACTTCTCCTGTGAATCGTTACGGAAGGGTGTTTTTATTACTGGAGCAATATTTGTGGTTGCAACCATGATTCTAAACGTGTACTACTACATGTACTTCAACAAGGCGACTACTACTCAGGCAGCTCAGAAGACAAATCGTCAAAGCTCAAATATTGGGATGGCTGGGTATGCATAGAAAGAATTCAATTGGGTAATGTCATAGATGGCTACCAAGTTTTGCACTAGATGTTACTCAGGGTTCGAAATGCCTTTTCTTATGTGTATGACTTGAACTTCAGCTATAATTGGATTCCGTTTATGTAGTTACATATACGTGCTATAACGACTGCTTGCAAAGACGACATGCAAAGTCATATCATATTATAAGAGAGGGTTTTTGTCATCTGGTAGGCTGGTACTTTGTATTTTAGTTTAGGATTAAAAAGATAGCTCACTATTGGATAACATTAAAATGGCATCCTGCCGTTTGTGAATTACTGTTGGAGGACCTCCGCTTCTTTACGGGGACAGTTCCTTTTGCCCTTTTAATGACTTATTCCCAAAGTAATTTCTTAAAAAAGAAAAACAGGGACTACTTAAAAATAAACTATCAATAGTTTTTTAATTTTTAGCCGTCAGATTTATATCAAAATATGTATGTTTTGTATATTTTTTTAATCTGATAAAATTTTAATCAGATTTAATGGTTAAAAATTTAAACTACCAGTAAAACAGACTAACGAAGAAACTCTTAAAAAACAAAAAACATGAAACTTTTTTTTTCCCTAAAAAAAATGTAATTTCTTTCCTTATATTCCTCCCCAGAAAGGGCAAAATGGGAGCCACGCGTGCAATAATCCTGCGTGAAGTTCGAAGGTTATGCATTTTATTTTTTATGTTTTATTATTATTTATTTATTTATTTATTTATTTTTTGCTCACAAGGTTATTTCATGAAAGATAGGGTCTCCCATAATTACATTTTTGTGTAAATCACGGTAAAATTGTCAGTCTCCAATTTAAGCCCAGTCAGCACTACCTCCTCTACAACTTCGACCAGAGGCCCAACATTCTCAGCATCCCGGCATCCCTTGGGTTCCAGTCCCCTCCATCTCTCCGTACAACATCAAGGTTGCTCTTTTTCTTTTTTCTTGTCAGTGAGATAATATTTCTTTTCTTTTTGTTAATTATGAAGATCTATTTGAGAAGCTGAGCAAGTACGTTGAGATTGCGAAACATTTCGCACATTCTTTTTCACATGTGAAACGTTTCACAGGGCTTCCCTGAGTAAATACCATATTTTTTAAAATTAAATTAAGTAAATTGTGTTATAATATTGAGTTGATTGTGTAATTAGTTCTTAATCCTTATTCCATTTTTAGAGTGATTGGTTGCAATATAGGCGTGAACATATTTTGTGGGTTAATTATAGAGGATTGATTGGTTGCCTAATTAATAGTCTAATTTGTACTGATTGATTGATTCACAGATTATGTTTTTAAAAATCATTCATATATATACCTAATACAATTGTTTGTAAAATTATCAGTGAACGAAAGAGTGAGCGTATTCCTGATCGTGGACATAGACAAATTGTCGAATTACGTTAAATCTCCGTTCTTCTTTCCTTCTTCAATTTAAAATGAATAAAGATAGAAAAGAAAGAAAAATGAAGATTTAACGTGGTTCAGCAATTTGCCTACATCTATGGATCAAGAATACGCTCATTCTTTGATTCACTGATAATTTTACAAACAATTGTCTTGGTTATATATAGGGATAATTTTTAAGAATATAATTTGCGAATCAATCAATTAAGATTAATTAGGCAACCAATCAATCTCCTATAATTAACCCACAAAATATGTTCACGCCTATATTACAACCAATCACTCTAAAAATAAAAAGGAGCATTAAGAACTAATTACACAATCAACTCAATATTCTAACAAATAACAAATTTTAAAACTATTTAAAATAAATAACATTTTACGTGATAAATAAATCATTTACCACATAAATTATTCATTTACAATTAGTATAAATATTTTTTTCACATAAATTTTCTTTTTACGACTAGTAAAAAAGAATTTTTTCCATATAAATAAAGATTTTTTACCACACAAGTTATTTTTTACTAATTGTACATGAATCATTTACACCATAAATAATTTATTTATCATGTAAACTGTTATTTATTTATTTTAAATAATTTTAAAATCTATTATTTACGTAATTAAGTTTTAAAAATGTGCTATTTACTATAATTTTCTTAAACTTATTATCATTTAGTAGGTAGGTATAGATATAAATAAAGACAAGGACTAATGAGGAGGGACTTGTGGGTTGACATGAGCATGACATGGATAAGTAATCGAGCACAGCAAAATAGCGTGGTAGTACCTAATTAAAAGGACCATGCGAACACAACACAACTCATTAAACAACACAGTCTCAAGGTCATCCACTAAAGCATAGAAAAAAAAATTACAAAAAGCATGAGAAAATGATAAGTTCTCATTATTTTTCGAAACACAAGGATAATATCAATGATAAGTTTCCACTTTTCATGAGGCGTCCACTAAATTCATCTTTCTTACTCAAATGCATGAAAAACATTTAGATTTAATATAATAAAATGAAATTAAAAAAAAAGACTGAAAGACAGAGAAAGGAAAAAAAATCCTCATGCAATATGGACAAAACGGAGACTAAACTGTTAGTTAGGAGTGTTCTTTTTAATGGAAATAAAAGACTCAAATATGTTGTCTAATTTTAATATTATAATTGGTGTTTAACAAATTAAATAATACCACGTCATGTAAAAAATTTGGATTACTTTTTAACTAATTTTTTTGAGCTTATTATGGGATAATGTGGTATGATTTAATTAGTTAGACACTAATTAAGACACAAAAAATTAACCAATAAATTTAGATCCATAAATAAAATGCTCGAAATGAATAATATTTAGAGATTACCGAGAACTCAAAAATTTAAAATAAAAGAATATTTGAAAAAAAAGAATTTGTGCTTAGAAATATGTTGGTTGTATAATATTTGAGAAGTAAAATTCTTCTTTTATGCATATTTTAGTGGCTGAGACCATTTGTTTTAAAACTGTTTTAGAGGCATTATGGGAGTTTTAAAAATTCCAACAGTACTTAAGAGGATGTTATTATAATTAAGTTTGAGTAAGGAAATGGTAATGTAATATTGCTAAAATTGTTATTGTAATTAAGGTCAATAATGGAAATGGTACTGTAAAATGGCTAAAAAATTGGGAGATATTATTGTATTTTTCCAATTGTATAGTCAGTTTATAGTTGGAGCATTTTTCACCATAAGTCCCCAAAAAAGGGCATTAGAAAGAAAGAGAAAATAAATAAATAAAACCCTAATTTTTCTTCAAGCGAAAGAAAAAGGAAAAAAATGGCATGTTTCTTCTAGGAATATAATGAAACTTTTTAGTCGCTTTGTTGACTGAAAATGAAAATGATGTGTCAAGACTAAAACCAGAATGAACCAGACACATGGGCTTGAGTGTTCTCTATATCAGATGTGCGACATACTTAACACTTTGGCAGCTGAAAAGGTTTGGTATTTGGGGCAGTTGGAATCAAACTAGTTGAGAGAGTTTCTTCTTTGTGTCTTTCGCAGTCAATATGTGGAAAAATCACGACCTTTATTCAAAATTCAAACTAACGTAAATACTTTAATTTTAGTTCCTGAATTTCATTCATTCAACTATACTTTAATGGGAAATAATAGAAAATAGGTCAATATGAAAAGCTTAAGAAAGTATATAGGCCAATTTTTAGTTATAGAAATTAATAGGCCATAACTTGTTAAGTTATGGTTCATAACCAGATAAGTTATGGACAAACATGTCAAGTTATGGTTCATAGCCAGACAAGTTATGGACAATTATGAACAATAACTTGTCGAGTTATACTTCATAACCAGACAAGTTATGGACGAAAATAATAATTTGGCATATTTATTAACTTATATAAATTATTGACCTATTAATTTTAATTCATCTCAAATTTTAGTCTATTTCCCTCTTTCTCTCTACTTTAATTTTAGTTCCTAAATTTGCACAATGTTTGATTCCTGTAATAAACGTACATAAAAATTTCCTATTGCTTGGTTTTTTTTAATTTTACTTATAAAAAAAGAAAATACTGGAAATAACCTCTACGTTTACTAGAAAAACCACATTTGCCTTATTGTTATGCAAATTTCTAAAGTATCCTCTGCGTTCTTTCAAAATACCACCTTTACCCCTTTTGTTTTTAAGAATGACGTAAAAATAACATGGCGTTGCGGAGGATATCTCTAGAAGGGGTCTTGGTTTTTATTTTCCTTTTTGAGTTTTTTCCAAGAACAATTTTTTTTTTTTTAGTTTTTAAAAACTCACTTTATTTCATATTTTTGTACATTAATGTGAAAATAAAATATTTCATACATATTAATGAAGGTAATCATACCATTTTCTGAAATTAAACTGGTTGCTGGATATTTTTTTGATGGATTTTATCGAGACATTTGCATAATAAGAGAGGAACACAGGATTTCAACTACACATTGGGTATTTTGGACATCTTCTTTAGCAATGCATGTTTTTAAATGTTAAATATAGTCAAAGTGACATTAAAATGACAAGAAAACGAACGCAAAGCATATAAAATGTAGTATAAATTTAACGGTTCAAAACAGAATTTTTTAAATGATATATATTTTTTTCATACACTACTACAAAATTCTATTTATCTTTTTCCCGAAAAATTCATTGACTTTATTATGAATTAATTCCTCAGTGAAGATACGTAGCAGAGCTTCCTTTTCTTTTTCTATGAATAGTTCTCATGCAATGAAGAATAGTAGGTCCGTTCATTACACTGATTTGAGTTTATAATTCGAGTTTTGTTACAGTAAAAAACTTTCAGAAACAGTCACATCTAATTTTTTTACTCAGTAAAAAAAGCTCACAAATAAAGTCACATTTCAATTCAAATCAGTGAACTAAACAGGTCTTACAGTTTGCTTTGCATTTGCTCTGCATAATTGTTGTAAGAGCATTCGTATTCATCCCCATAGTGTTAAAACCCTACTACTTATAAAAGGTGAGTCTCATATGTGGATAGATGAAACTTAATATAGTAAGACACATCATTTTATGAGTGATGGAATTTTATTCTGATAGGAATAAATATAATTTTTCTTATTGTAATGCAAGAGCCATATGCAAAGCTTAAAAAGAGATGCATGCCGGGTACGCAACTAGGCATGCGCCGTGATCACCAAACCACGAAAGCTACTAAGGAGGCATTGCTGGTGTCAGTTGTAGTCTTATACGCATATTAATTTGAACCTCCTTTTTGAATCTCCTATATATGCTTGTTCATCTCTAGTACGAAACTAATCATGTTGGTTTCGAAGATCACAATACAAAATCCAGTTAGACCAAATATATAAATTCCATACATAATCTAGGCTGTTAAAAAAAAACACCGAATTAACCGATAAAACCGATCGAACTGTCACCAAAATCAG